ATTTATATAACCCATAGCGGGTTAAGCTATTTATTTAGTTTAAAATGATGATGTTCTAAATTTCCATTTATTCTTTTCATTTCTATTATTTGTTATATAAGAAATTAAATTCATAATGTATGTTTATTAGTCAGTTATTAATAATTTTTTTTTTTCAAATCTTAACAATAAATTTAAAATACACGTAGATACAAATATATATATATATATAATCTTATAAATATTCTCAAGATTCAATTTTGTATTTTTGTTATTAACTTTCCAAAATTTTCCAAAAAATAAGGAAATATATTTAAACACTTTTCAAAAATGAGATTAGATATTAATAAAAATTTATACTCTAATCAATCTAATTAGTTTTAGATACTAGGTTTGATTATCATCAAGTCTTAGGTTTGGATGTTGATACCTTTTTAATAATCGTATTTTTTTTGTATTAATTTTCTTTGAAATCTATTCTAATTCTATCATCTTCAATTTATATGTCAAACCCATTCCAATTTTAATTTTTTTTTCATATAAGGTCTATGAGTGGACAACAATGGCGGGGTGAAGGATAAGTCAAAGAGGATATCTGGCTGGAGTTAGGGTTTCAATTTTAAATATTTCCTTTAATTTTGATTTTGTCTCTACTTAAAACTTTATGTTTTTTAGCAATATACTAAAGGTTTAAATATAATAAAAAATTTATCACACAATTATTCAATCTGCATTTGAAGTTGTAAAAAAACAACTTTAAATTTTAATTTGTATTTTATTTGACGGATTATATACACAGGTTAATTAGCTTATTTTGAAATATCAATAAAATCTGAAATCATATAATTTTAATAATAATTCAAACTGATAAAGTCTTCTTTTAAAGATCCACGAAATTCCTGGTCCAAAATTTTTGAATTTACAAAACAGTAAAAATGTAAGATCACAATATTCTCTGGAAGATAAAAATTACTGTTAGACACCTGAAAACTATAATACTTTAACTATATTAAATTTTGATACAAATATATATATATATATATATATATATATATATATAATAGCAATCTAATAAATACCATTTGCACATCTGAACGGTTGTGTCTTTTAATCGCAATTTTCGTTTTAATCGGTTATTGTTTTACGGTTATGTCGTTTCCAATAAATACCATTTGCACATCTGAACGGTTGCGTCTTTTTATTGCAACCTTTCGTTTAAATATATAATAGCAATCTCAATAAATACCTTTTGCAAATTTGAACGGTTGTGTATTTTCGTCGCAACCTTTCGTTAATTTTTTTTTTTAAAACTATAAAATATTATTGCTTTTTTAAAAAGTTGCATCTGTTCAATTTTAACTATAAAAAATCTGAACATATATGTCTTTTTGTCGCAATTTTCGTTATTTTTTTTAAATAGCTATAAAATATAATTTGTGGTTGTGTACTTGTGTTTTCTTAAAGTTGCATCTGTTTAGTTATAAAATATAAAATATTTGAACTATTGTGTCTTATCATCGCAACCTTTTCGTTAAGTTTTTTTGGTTGTGTTTTTTTGGTTGTGTTTTTTATAAAATATAATTTATGGTTGTGTTTTTTTAAAGTTGCATCTATTTAATTTTTAACTATAAATTATAAATTTTATGGTTTTGTTATTTAGAAAGTTGCATCTGTTCCGTGGTTGAAACGGTTCGTCAAATAAACTTTTTCATTTTACAATTGTGAAAAGTTGCATCTGTTCAATTATTAACTATAAAGTATAAATTTTATGGTTTTGATTTGTTCAAAAGTTACAACAGTTCATTTTTAATAACTATAAAATATAATTTATGGTTATATTTTTTTTTTTTAAAAAGTTGCATCTGTTCAATTTTTAACTATATAATATAATTTTATGGTTTGTGTTTAGAAAGTTGCATATGTTCAAAGATTGCAACGGTTAATCAAATAAACCTTTTCATTTTACGGTTGTTGGCATTTTTTCGCTACCTAGCATTCATATATATATATATATATATATATATACTTTGTTATCTATATTATTATTTATTTTTTCCTAAATAACTATTATTTTGGTTATTTGTTAATTTTTTCTGAGGATAATCTTTCTTTAACAACACAATTTAAAGTATTGCGTATTTTTATCATAATGTTTTGTTGAATGTATTTATATAATTATGTTGAGAAGTGTTTAAAAACTTGAAAAAGTACGTCTATTCATTATAATGATTAATTAATATATTTGTTTATGTTCACATCTTTTCACCATAATGTTTTTTAATAATAATATAAATCTTAATAATTGTTTCTGAAGGTTACGTCTCTTTAATCTTTATCATAATTTTTCGCAAAATATATCTTGATTTATTATTAAAAATATTTTTTTGAAAGTTATCTAAATACATTATAATTTTTCGTTTAATATTTTTTTCTTTAAAAATTTTTGAAATCATTTCCACCGCGACATCGCGGGGGGGTCTGAGTCCTAGTATATTAAATAATACACATGTTTAACCACATTAAAACATATTCTCCTATTTGAAAATTTAACAACCACCAAAAAAAACATATGTTATAATTATAAATTATAAATTATCAAATACTTAATAGGAACACCGAATAAAACCGATACCCGCGGAGTACCGCGGGTTGAATCCTAGTGAGCAATTATGTAGCAAGTCATCAAATTAAAAAAAAAAACAATTCAAAGAAAAAAATAGGGAATTTGGTCAAAAATGCCACTTTGACCAAAAAACTTACAAAGAATGCCACCGAAAAAAAGTTTCTTTTCCAAAAAGCCTTAATTTTGAATCAGTGTGGGTCTGTCCACGTCATTATTACATAATAATCCTCTTGAAATTAAAGATATTTTATTATAAGAATCGAGCTTAACCAGTCGGGAGTTCGGTTCAGTCTAGTAGAAGAGCTTGATCCTTGCCAGTATGGAGTTCGCTCTTATTCGACAGACAGTTCGCATAGAGAAAGGCCGAAGCGAGGAGAATACTGTTCGAGGCTCGCAGTAGCGTCAAAACGCGGGAGTTCGGAGTCAGCAAGAAAGAGTTCGGAAGATCCATGCGAAGCCCAAGATAGTTCAAATTCAAGCCGTTTCTGTCAAAATTGTAACTTACATGATTAATGCGGGTCAATGCGATTATGGGCAGTAAATGACCGCATTGATCATGTTTTCTCTATAAAAACAACCTCAAACGCATGTGTTTGAGGGGGAGACATCTCTAAGATTATTACAAACTATTACAAAGCAATACAACATACTTATTTCTCTTATACTTTCGCAAGGCTTTACACACTTTATTCGTATCAATTTTCTCTCCTTGTTTCTTGGTTAATCTTCCTTTCGAATTCCTATATTCTTTTACTGATTTTAAGAGTTTTTCTCCACTAAAATACTTAAAGATAATCGAGTGTGAATCCTACATCCACAGAAAACAACCGATTTCAAAGACATATTCATACAAAATTCATTTCTAGTTTGAATATACTTTTTAAAAAATTGTGTCATTGATCTTACAAAATAATAATGTTGCCGAAACTATTTGGAAAAATATTGTTCACGGTAATTTGTAGACATAAATATTTGAAAAATTATTGTCCACGGCATGTGGCACTGTCTGAAGTCACGTCGTTTGACTTTGACCGAATTAGAAAACTTTTATTTGAAGGGCAATTTGGACATTTCACATAAGGGATATGTCACTCTTTGAAAGGAAGAAGAGCTTTTGGCAATTTTGATAAGTTTTGTTATAGTGGCATGGCACATTTGTTAAATTTCTCTTTCTTTCCTCAATCTAAAATCCTTAATTTTTCTTATCCCAAACTACCATGTAATCACGGTTTTTAAAACTGTTCTAGTTTTTTCTATCATAAAACTTAGGGCTCGGTAAAAATACCCAGAATCAAAAAATTGAACCGAAACATACCCGAGAAGGAAGAACCAGACCGAACCAAAACCGACAAAATACTCGAACGGATCCATGACTAGTTTTGTATATATATAATATTTTCAGTGTTTTCATAAAAATAACCAAAATTATCTCTAAGTTTTCAAAATTTGAATTTGCATAATTTTTGTTTTAATAGGCGTATAGGTTTTTCAAATACAATAATGGCTGTCATTATTTATAATAATTTATGTATATTGTTTGTATATGTGAATTATATAATCTTTGTTATTCATTGAAAAAAAATATTTGTTTTCTCTTTGAAATATTAAATGTTTTAGTCTAAAACTAAAAAATTAATAACATCCAAAATATTAATTTTATTTAGGTCAAATTATTTAACTCATAATTTTTTTAAATGTTTTAACAAGTAAAACATAACTTTTTATAAATTAATATCACTATAAAAATTAGGGGCTTTGCAAAAATGCCACTTTTTCAATGCCACTTTTCAAAAATACCCCTTTTTTAAAACCTTATAAAAAATGCTTTTAGAAATATAAGACTTACCCAAATATGTATGTAATATTATTAAAACATATACAAACTACATTTCTATGTATCTAAAATCTTATAAATACTTTATAAATACCTTATAAATGCATTTTAAATACCTTTAAAAACCTTTAAAATATCTTGTAAAACCTTTGAAAAACCTTAAAAATCCTTTAAAATAACTTGTAAAACCTTTAAAAACACCTTATAAAACCTTATAAATACTTGGATCGATTCTTCAAGTAGTAGTTACAATCCATAAGTACATTATAAACCTAATAAAACTTTATAAAAATTTCAGATTTAAAAAGGGGCATTTTTGAAAATGGACATCTAAAAGGGGCATTTTTGAAAAGGGGCACACCAGAAATGGTATTTTTAACAATTTCCCTAAAAATTAATAACATATAATGGTCCCAACATTATTAATTAATAGAGGTTTTACTATGCTTCAAATATTGGAGGATTTTATATATAAGTAAACTATAATAGAGAAAAAACGATATTTAAATTTTGAGTGATTTTCCAATTCCTATATATAGTTTTTTGATAACAAATATCTTATATTTCCACAGATATTATATGTAATAAATGATATGAAAGTAAATAAAAATAAGATTTTTTTTCTCTTACTTAAGAAAACCATTTAAAAGATAAATTCAATAAGATATATTTTTTGAAAAGAAAAATTAAATGAAAAAAATTAAGATTTAATAATAAGAAAATAATAAAGTATAAAAGTTGTTTTATTTCTCTAGATTGTGATAAAATGTTTAGATACAAAAAAATTATGTTATTCTTGACATCTGTATTAAGATTTTTTTTATCTGCTAATGTTTAAAATAAAATGTTTTCTATACAAGTTCTATATATTTGTTATTTGATTATCAAATTATGGTTCTATGTACTCTTATTTTCTATTTAAAGTGATAGGTTTCTTAAAAGGTTTTATGGTGAGAAGATTCTTAAACAACTAGTAAATATTTTTTAGAACTAGATCGCGATGGGTTGTTGGTCAAAGCGGCCACGACAAAATTTTACTAAAAAGTAGAGTGATTTATTAATAGTCTTTTTTATATCTATGTAAACTAAATAAGAGTTATGTCTTTTCTATGCTCTTACGATGCTATATGCGTTTTTTCTTTTGAAAATTTGTCTAGCAGGTCAATTGAAGTCGAATTGAAGATTTTGATGCATTGTGAAAATTGCGTTAAAGATGTCAAAAAGACTATTTCCAAAGTTGAAGGCAAGCATATATAATATTGTCCACATTTATGATACACTATATTGATCTCATTCATGGTTCAGATATAACTTAAGGCTTCTGCTTTGAATTATATTTTTTAATTCCTTAGTATTTTATATTTTTTCGTGTATTTGATAATTTCAAATTATCTTTATGGTTTTAAATATCTCAAGTTTTAAATTATAGTTAAAAAAACATGCCTTTGCTTAATTTAATATTTCTTATGTTAATATATTATTTGTTTTTAAAACTTTAATATTGAATTGTTTTTTATACGTATTGCTGGAGTTGTAGGAAAAAATAAAGTATTATGATGAAAAATGATCACATCAAACAATTATAATTTTTGGACCGATCATATATATTATTGAGGATAATATAGTAATTATATATGTTATAATAATTTTTTTAAATGATATGTGATTGTTAGGAGTTGACACATGTAGAACAGAAATGGATAATCAAAAAGTTATGGTCACTGGTAATTTTATTTTGGAAAATTTATTGAAAACTCTCAAAAAAAAAACCGGTAAAAAGGCAGAAATTTTGATGATGAATGAGAAAGCTGATATGGTTCACAAAGAAAATGATGACCATGAAGTTGTTCAGAATGAAGATGATGACTATGATGTTGTTCAGAAAGAAAATGATGAACAAGAGACATTTACAGAGAAGAATGAAGAAGGTGATATAGTCCAAGAAAAAGACAAAAATCCTGAAGTAGAAGAAAACATTGATACACCTGAAGCAAGGTGGATCACTTCTAACTAGTTAACAATTTTTATTAAGTATGAAAGTTTTGAAAACAAATACTAATACTTGTTAGGTTTTTTTTGTTCTAAGTATACGTTCTTCGGATGTTACTTGTGTTTTAACTCTTCATTTAATTTTTTGTAGTACAACAAAAGTCGAAATTCATATCGCATTTCTATATGAGAAGTACGAGGAAGACATCGGAAAAGTTATTTCTAAATTCGAAGGTATATAATAAATAATATTATTCATATAAATATTTGAAAAATGTGTTCTTCAATCATTTGTTTTGAATGATGTATGAATAGGGGTCAAAACATGTGTGGTCGACATAGAAAACCAAAAAATTGTAATAACTGGCGACTTTGATGAAGAGAAATTATTGGAAAAACTTAAGAAAAAGATGTGTAAAAGGATAAACAAAGTGGAAAAGAAAAGAAAGGAGGAAGAAGCCAAAATAGTTATAGAGAAGGATGAAGAAATTGAAATGGATAGAGGTGTTTATATGTACCCAAATAGTGATGATGAGAAAGAGGTGGCCAAATATATGATGTTTAGTGATGAAAATCCTAATGCATGTTCGATTTCGTAACTGAACATCGTCGAAACTAGTATCCACCATAGAAAACTTGGCATGGTAATGGACTTTATCTATTTGGGGATATTTTGATATTTTCATCACCTTGATATTATAATATTATATAATTGAAAAAATAATAGTAGTTTGCTTTCAAATTTTCTTTTTTAGTATAAGCTTTATCTTTTGAAAAGTATAAAATTAATATCATCGTTTGGTAATTATTTTAATGGAAAAGAGAAACAAAAAATCAATTTACTACATATGTTAAAAACAATCTATTTTTTTCTCGACGATAATCTGTCATATTATTATTATTATTTCAACAGCTTATATAATATTGTGTCATTTCTTATAATACCACAATATAATATTGTGATAACCCTTGTTCTTTTTTTTTGTCGTCTAGATTTATTATTATTTGCAAATTATGAGAACTGTTACATAGACGATTCTACAACTGACAATTCCTTCCGACCCTTATTAGATCCACGACAGTTTATACTTCATTCTTCGTGATCTTGATGAATACCCTTCAATGATCCACGACCTGGCGACACTTCTTTCTCTGCGTAGAATCCTGGCGAACGGCTATAATTGTACATCGCTGGAGATCTCTTGCACACTTGCCCCCATCAATCTGCAAATTTGTTAATAAATCGCAATATCTGGGACTCGAACCCCAGACCTCTTGGTGTAGAAGCATTAATCAACCTTTGATCAACCCTTGTTCTTTCATTTTTTTAATATCAAATAACCTTATATTTTTATATCACCTCTATAAAATTTATGGAAATATAACTATATAAGATCCGTCAATCTCAAAAAAAAAAAAAACTATATTTTTATATCACCTCTACATTGATTTTCTTTTTTGTTAACCCTTCATTAATTTTTTCGTCCACTTATATATAAATGGTATACCACTTGTTCACATTTTGAAAATATGATTCTGCTAATTTTTACCATTCAAAATATAATCATGTTTTTGAAAAGTGATTCCACTATATACAACTAGTTTGATAAAAACGTAACTAGAAGAAAAAGGTGTTTAACCTACTGAAACTAGAATTCCATCGTTTTAAGTATTCTATAGAAATAATTATTCATATTCACCAAAAAAAAGAACAATTATTCATCGTTCAGTTTGTTCCGCAAACAATTATTCAATTATTTTGTTATTCCACTATTCCTCTGACATGCAAGTCATAACAATAATGTTCAAATTCAAGAGTAATTCTGGTTTGGACCGGAATTATTGCCATTTTAAGTTCTCGCAAATAAAATTATTATTTTTCCAAAAATACGACATTTTATAAGGTTAGCTATAATGGATTGTGTATTGGTCAATTTGACTCATTGAAATAGGTGGATAAATTGTGACACTTAGGCTCCGAATGGAGAAAGCGTATCGGGCGGAGCGGATCAAGCGGTTCAGGCGTATCAAGTAGAATAAAAGTGGATCAAGCGGATCTAACGGAACAAAAGCGGATCAAACAAATTTGGCCGTTCAAAATATGTGTGAATGGTAAAAGAGGATCAAGTGATGTGGTTCAAACAATATTTTTTAGATAAAACATTTATTGAATAATAAATACATAGTATTATAAATTATGTTAAATATGTACTCATGATTATGAACAAAAATTAATTAAGAATCTATAAAAATTTAGTTTCCAAATCCATATAATTTATCTATAGTACTACTCCCTCAGTTCCTTTTTACTTGATTTTTTAGGGAAATTCTTTTTTCTAAATTAGATGATGTTTTAAGTTTTTAATGCAATATTAATTAATTTTTATTAGTTTTCATATTTCTATTTTGCAAATTGTTTTTCTACTGGTTGAATAGATAATATATGATGTTTTAGTTTAGATATAAAAAAAATTTAAATGTTTCTTTAATCGGTGTGTAAAAACATCAAACATCAAGTAATTAAAAAAGAACGGAAGAAGTAGTAATTTGAAAATAACATATTTATAGGATATTAGTAAAACTATAAATTATGTGTTTCATATCTGATTACTAAAATAATATATGTATATCTTGATGTATTTAACAGAATAAATTGATTTTTAATTTTGGTGTACTTATGTCAATAGAAAGAACAAATAAATCATTAATATAATTAAAAGATGTAACATAAAATTTAGGTAGTCCAAACAATATTTATGAATATATATTGTAACCTAGATAAAAAATAGCACAGTTATTTATATGTTTTATATTTTGGAAAAAAAAAAACTTCAATAAAAAAAAGCAGATCTCACACCAATCCACCACTATTTAGGTATGGACAAACCGTCCCGCTAACAGAAAAAAAAGTATGAGCAGAAAAAAAAAAAAAATTCCTTTTTTTATTTTATGTGTTTCAAAAGCAGATGGTTTGCTAATTGTTAACTTTTGTCTGAATGAGAACACAAGTACATATCATTCTCTTCCTCTAATGAACCACCTTTATTTCGTTTCCCCATTCAAGGCCTTAGTGTATTGAGTGTGGAGCGGGCGAACATATAATCAATATGTCATGCTATTATCAAATGTCCTCCATCACTACAAACATGAGCATATCTATGATATCATCCATCCGTAATTTTCAATATTGTTTTCTGGAATTTGTACTACTTTTTTGGTGAATCCCTATAATTCCTCGAAATGATAATTTTTTTTATTATTTGGTATATTCTAAAAGTTAAAATTGATAATATTTTTAGAAACCTAGATAGCCAACAAAAGGTTCTAAAATTAGTGGAGAGTTCTACTTAAATTTGGAAAACGCCACAACTTAAAGAACATATTGTGAACAATAATGTCATGCCATCTTATTTGATACCATATTTCATAGATGTTGATGTTATACAAACGGTAGTTGGAAGGAGTTAAACATCTTTTAAGGTTAGGGTAGTTTTGTTTTTAGGACGCCATAGGGGGATCAGTAATTGGGTAAGGAACCAAGAACTAATTAGGAAGAAGGACAAATATATAGAGTTCAAAAGTTGCTGTAAAAAAAATATATATATATATATATAGAGTTCAGAAGTCATGAACATTTAAATAAACAACTATTCATACAAAAATTTGTGATGAAAAAACGCAATGAAATATAGTGAAGAGACGTATTTAAATGAATATATGCAACTATAAAGACACAACCGTTAACTAAAAAAATACGACTATAATTGAACAAATAGAACCGTCCCAAAAAAATAACCGTCAATATTTTAACGAAAAGATGTGATAAAAAGACACAACTTCGAAAAAAATAACCGTCACTATTTTAACAGAAAGTTGCGATAAAAATACACAAAGGAAAAAAGTAACCGTCAATATTTTAACGAAAATTTACGATAAAAAGACACAACTAAAAAAATAACCGTCAACAAAAAAAATAACCGTCAATATTTTAACGAAGAGTTGCTATAAAAAGGTACAACCGAGAAAAAATAACCGACAATATTTTAACGGAAAGTTACAATTAAAAGACACAAACAAAAATAGTAACCGTCAATATTTTAACGGAAAGTTACGATAAAAAGATACAACCAAAAAAGTAACCGTCAACGAAAAAGTAACCGTCAATATTTTAACAAAGAGTTGCGATAAAAAGATACAAACAAAAAAAGTAACCGTCAAATTTTTTACGGAAAGTTACGATAAAAAGACAAAACCGAGAAAGAGTTGCGATAAAAAAACACAACCAAAAAATAACCGTCAACAAAAAAAGTAACCGTCAATATTTTAACGAAGAGTTGCGATAAAAAGCACATCCAAAAAATAACCGTTACTATTGTTGTGATAAAAAGACACAAACAAAAAAAGTAACCGTCAATATTTTAACAAAGAGTTGCGATAAAAATACAGAACCGAGAAAAATAACCGTCAATATTTTAACGAAGAGTTGCGATAAAAAGAAACAACTGAGAAAAAATAACTGTCAATATTTTAATGAAGAGTTGCGATAAAAAACACAACCGAGAAAAAATAACCGTCAATATTTTAACGGAAAGTTACGATAAAAACACATAACTAAGAAAAAATAATTGTTGATATTTTCACGAATGGTTGCGATAAAAAGACACAAACAAAAAAAGTAACCATCAATATTTTAACGGAAAGTTACGATAAAAAGACAGAACAAAAAAAATATCCTTCAACGAAAAAAGTAACCGTCAATATTTTAACGAAGAGTTACGATAAAAAGACACAACCGAGAAAAAATAACCGTCAATATTTTAACGGAAATTTACGATAAAAAGACAACCGAGAAAAAATAACTACAATATTTTAACGAAAAATTGCGATAAAAAGCCACAAACGAAAAAAGTAACCGCCAATATTTTATCAGAAATTTGCGATAAAAAGACACAACCGAAAAATAATCGTCAACAAAAAAAATTAACCGTCAATTTTTTAACGAAGAGTTGCGTTAAATAAAAGAACCGAACAAAAGACCACCAATATTTAAAAGAAATGTTGCGATAAAAAGACGCAACCGTTAAGATGTGCAAAAGACATTTATTGAGATTGCTATTATATATAGATTACGAAATGCTTCGAAGTTCGAAGAATCCGTTGGATTGTCGGCTCAACAGTACTCTTTTTTCTTTCCAGTATAGTACTTGTTGATTATATTTTATGAACATTAATACATTATTATGAAATTCAAATGCACTTCGTACAACACAATTCCCACAAACACTTCATTTTATAATTGAAATTTAAAGTTTAAACAAAGAATTCTGGTAGCAAAAATAGAATCAATATATGGCCTCCGCTATAAAAATATACAAAAGAATTTGAAGATATCTTAAAATTATTGAAATTTGCTTGAGAATCTCAAATATTCATTCTCTTCCGATCACTACTTTCAAACAAGCAACTTAGCACGTCTTCATCAGAATTATTTGTAAGTGCGACACACGAACCCAAATGAAAAAGATAATTTATCTTCTACACAAAACGATCTTATATATATAAAGGGTTCTCATGTTGAACTATATCATACCAAAAAATAAAAACAAAAACAAAAGAAGATTAAAAGAGCAGCTATGAGTAGGATGAGATCCTCAAGAATGATGGGGCTTGGTCATTGTTTGGTTTATGTTCTGGTCTTCAGTGCTATCGCGGCTAAAGTGACAGCATACGACTCATCCCCTTCAACACCACAATACAACTCCCCTTATCCACCCAAAAGGTATTCTCCTTATCCTTCGGAATCACCACCACCTCCACCACCACAATATAGAAGGCAAGACCCTAAGTACACACCAATTCCACAGTCAAATGTCTACAGTTCCCCAACACCTCTACCATACTACTCTCCTTCTCCTAAGATAGACTACAAGTCTCCACCACCACCATATGTCTACAACTCTCCACCACCTCCCATGTACTATTCCCTATCTCCTAAAGTAGACTACAAGTCTCCACCGCCACCATCCGTATACAGCTCGCCACCACCTCCACCGTACTACTCACCTTTTCCTAAGGTAGACTACAAGTCTCCACCACCACCATACGTCTACAACTCTCCACCATACTACTCTCCTTCTCCTAAGGTTGACTACAAGTCTCCACCACCACCATCCGTATACAGCTCGCCACCACCTCCACCGTACTACTCCCCTTCTCCTAAGGTAGACTACAAATCTCCACCACCACCATACGTATACAGCTCGCCACCACCTCCACCGTACTACTCCCCTTCTCCTAAAGTCTCCACCTCCACCATACGTTTACAACTCCCCAACACCTCCACCATACTACTCTCCTTCACCAAAGGTAGACTATAAGTCTCCACCACAACCATACGTATACAATTCACCACCACCACTATACGTTTACAACTCCCCACCACCTCCACCATACAACTCTCCTTCACCAAAGGTAGACTATAAGTCTCCACCACCACCATATATATACAACTCACCTCCACCTCTATATGTATACAACTCTCCACCGCCTCCACCATGCTACTCTCCATCTCCAAAGGTAGATTACAAGTCCCCACCACCTCCACCATACTACTCTCCATCTCCAAAGGTAGACTACAAATCTCTACCACCATCATACGTATACAGCTCACCACCTTCTCCACTGTACTAAGCCCCTTCTCCTAAGGTAGAATACAAATCTCCACCGCCACTATACGTTTATAGCTCTCCACCATCTCCACCATACTATTCTCCTTCGCCAAAGACATTATACAAGATCTCCACCACCAGCATACATCTACTAGACACCTTCTTATTGATTCTTGAATGGCTTCGAAACATGTAACATGATTGCAATCATCTCTTTTGCTTATTTTCTGTCTTTATTCTTTTATTGTTGTACTTTCTTTTTATTATCTTTTAAAGCTTTTCTTTAACCGAGAAATCTATGTTATATTGGAAATGCACTTATTGTATACTCTTTTTTCGAACTAAGTTGAAATATTAAATATTTCTATTTTGCTATCGGATTATGGACCATTCGTAATAGGACTTTTGAGTTTCGAGTATCAGTGGCAGTTATAAGAGAAACGTTAAAAATGTTTGGATCAGATCATATATTTTTTGTGATCCAATTTGTATGCAATTCTGTAATTTTCTATTCGTAGATTAACTGAAAGATATTTTGGGTCATTGAATCGAAAATCAGATTGAATCGATTCCAAGTTTTTTTTTTTAAAAGTAAATAACTATTATTAACCCTAGAGGGCTTGGCGAAAATGGGTTACAGACTGATCAAAAGGTCCACAAAAACAGAGAACAGAAACGGGAAAATCATATTTTAACTTTCAAAGTGTTACTGAGTAGCACTTTAAACCTCGAAAGAATTTCACTAACACTATAAACCACCAAGATAATTTTATTAACACTTTAAACCTTCAAACTAGCTTTTCTATTTGCACCGCCATAAAAAACAGCCGCTTACGATTAGTTAGTAAACTCAATGTGTGGTTAGCTCAAATAATATATCTTTTGAGATAGAGATATCTACTTTTATAGCCCAAACCTCAAGCTTCTTACCAACAGCTTAGGGCCTGACTAGTTTAAACGCAGCGGTTGCGGGAGTTTGCGGAAGCGGGCGGTTGTGGTTTCAAACGTTACCAAACGTTTTGAACGACTGGTTTATCGTTTGAAAATGGATGCGTTTGCGGGAGTTTTATGACTGGTAAACCAGCGAGTGCGGTAGCAGTTAAATTAAAAAATGACCAAAAAAATAAAAAATATTACAAAAAGAAGAAATAAAAAGGGAAAATTCCCAAGAAAAACCCTCAATTATTTTTTATTTGGACTTTTAATACCCAATTATTTTCGGTTGGAAAAAAATACACATATTAATAAAATTGTGCGATTTAATATCCAAACAATTAAATGTTGTTATTTTCATACTCACGATCTCACAACAAAAATAAAATTCCAATTTTACCCTTACTATCTCAATTAATTATTAACTTTTAAATTACGTGACAATAGTTTTTATTTAAATAAAAATTAATTTTATTAATATTTCATTTCTTTGTTATCCCAAAAAAAATTCAAAAAAAATTTCAAAATAATTTTCAGTTTATTTTACAAATATTTAATTTTAAAAAATTAAAAATAAAATTAATTAGCAAAAAATTTAGAAAAAGTAAAAAAAAAATTAGCCATTTTTATGAATTGATAAATCTTGAGAGAGACGATGAGATTCGGATTGAGATTTTGTCGAAAATAGTTTCATTCGTGAAGGATTTATATTCGAATAGAGAGTTTCTCACGACGAAGAAAAAGTTCATATTGATGCTCATTGATATCATATGCATCACGACGAATCAAATCAAATTAGTTTTATTGGCGATGAAGATTTTGGATAGGATTAAAAGGAGATTGTGAACGGCTATCGAATTTGATGGTTGCAAAAGAGGACGACGGAGATTGTTTACCTGTAATTCTCGTAGATATTAATCGAAAAAATTAGAATCGAAGAGGAAACGTCTCTTTGACATTGCAAAGACGGAATAAGATTGTACAAATGACTATTTTTAATATTTTTGATTTTGCTAATTTTTATGTTTAATTTTAAAATAAAATAATTGTATAAATTTAAAATTTATTTTTTAGGCAACATAAAATAAAACATTAAAAAATTAATTTTTATTTAAATAAAAAAATAATACCACGTTATTTAAAAGTTAATAATTAATTAAGATGGTAAGGGTAAAATTGGAATATTTTTTTTGTTGTGAGTTCGTGAGTATGAAAATAACAACATTTAATTGTTTGGGTATTAAATCGCACAGTTTTATTAGTATGTGTATTTTTCTTCCAACCAAAAATAATTGGGTATTACGCCCAAATAAAAAATACATGAGGTTTTTTTTGGGAATTTTACCAATATATTATTATGATAATATTAGAAAAATTGAACATGCTTAATAATTAAAACTATAAATAAAGTACTAAATAATTATTCAAAAATAAAGAAATTTTGTAATAAGATAGTACTTTATGCTGGGTTAACACCAAAAATTGCATCAAGTAATGGGACAAACTGTAAATAACGTTGAATTCAATCAAAAAGCAAGTGATTTTCTATTCGAGTAAACAAATCGAAACATATATTCAATCAAAAAACAAAGCAATACATAATAAAAAGAAAAAAACGATGCCATGAAAAATAGTCAAAGAGTTAAACATGAGGTGATGAATGAATAAAAGTATATATGATACTTACGTTTGGTTCTTGATTTTCATCAGTTTGGGTGGAAGACTTGAGAAAATAAAATTTTAAAATATTGATTAGGGTTTCGGATGAGAACGTGATACAAAGATGAAAGATATATATAGGATTAATATATTTTATAATAATTATAAATAAACGTTTGATTTTTTTTAAAAAAAAATCCAACCGCTACCGCCTGCAACCGCAAACGCTTGCGGGAAGGACTTTTTGAAATTCAACGATTTCGAGCCATTTGAAGCGGTACATAGCGGTTTCTATGATTGGTACCAACCGCAACCGACCGCTAGCAACCGCTAGGAGGGTGCTAGCGGGAGAACCAATCAAGCCCTTAGTGTACTCAACCGATAAGAGCTTAATGTACTCAACCTTATAATACGTTCCTAATCCGGCAATTGGCGAAAAATAGGCAAGTTCCATTGGATGGAATGCATTATCTTTAACCAATTGACGAAATCTCATATCAATCCCTAAATGCTGGAACTCTCAAATCCTACTTCGTTTGTTGTCCAATGATTGTACTACTTATTCATTTTTCTTAACAATGTTACATTGATACTAAAATTTTGAATATTTTACTAAGAAATAACACCACTAGCTAGCAATAGCATGATGACTCCTGCTCTAAAATTCTCCGCCTACCTCCGATTACTCCCCGCTTAATCGTTAGACCCACCATATCCACCTCGATTAATGACTAATCCCTTAAAAATATCGGTCACCCGATTATTCTCCGCCTAATCCGATTACTTTCTGTCTAATCTTATATATCCCGATTCTTTTTAGAATACAAGTATAAAATAACTTTTCTTTTTGTTATTGAATTATTTGAATTGGGAGTTTGTGATGTTTTACAATAACTTATGTTTAAATTTTAATAAAAATCATAAAAATTTGTCTTAAAAATACATATTTATCTGTTTACTGCAATTTTGAAAACGGTATTACATTAATGTGTTTTTAATATATTAGAATAACTCTAAAATTTTGTCTATGATTTCAATCCTATTTTCTGATTAATCGCTAGGTTCATACCGAACGTCCGAATAATGACTAGGAATTGATGACATATGAAATTGGACATTGGGTTAAAAAAAAAAAAAAGTCATATGTTATTCACAGTATGTACAAAGGCCCAAAAGGCCCAATCCTTAGAATCTTCCTCAATTACACAAACTAAAAAGCTCTAAATAACATCACATTCTTCCGGTTCATGATTCCGACCCAAACCACAAACTAATCAGAAATAGAGTGGTCGTGCCAGCAAAGTAGCATTGAGACGCAGCGCCGTAGGATATAGAGCCGAGTTCGTTGTTGCTTAGCCATCAGTAAACACCGATCTCCGAAGCTGGTTTTCCGGTTCGGTTTAGTTGGAAGAGAAGGATTGGACATAAAAAGGACAAGTTCAAGAGAGCAAAATCAATGGTGTTTTGGAATTTTGGGTAGATGTGAAAAAAGAAGGAATTAGAATTGAGGATGAGAGAAAAGTGACGTGAGAGTATTTATAGAAGAGAGCGTGTGAAGTCGGACGCGGCTGCTACGTGGTCCTACGGCTACGCTTTTGTTGTTTGTTTCTTCTTCTAGATTCTTTTTTCCACTTCTGCGAATCCTCATCCTTTTCTTTATCCAACACGTTTTTTTATTCATTGTTTATGATGTTATTGCCCTTTTCTTTTCTACACAAAATTTCAAGTTGATTTATCTTTCTTTTTTTTCTTATTGTCCATCTACACTTTTAACACACACTGTCGCATCTAGTAATGAAGCAGAGACAATTACATCATGTATATAATCTGTATGTTTTGAGAAAAACGTCTAATTACTGAGCCTTAGTTTGTTGATTAAGTGCCCAACGATGCAAAATTCTAAATCTCATATATATTCGTTTAATTGCTATATAACATTAGTAATTAGATCATTGATAAAACTATACTAGCATGTTGAATATTAAATATTGAAATTTTATTTTATTTTTTAGTCAAAGTTACAAATTTAAGAATTTCCAAACGTATAGAATTATACTTGGTATTATTATTTGAATTTATTAATTGGATTGGATTTTATTCGATATTTTCACGAAATATACCAAGTATATATTTATACATTTGGAAATTCTTAAACATTTACATTGACTGAAAAAATATTGATATTTGATATTTATTATCAAAACATGCTAGTATAGTTTTCATCAAACATGTAATTAGTAATACAGTAAAACTTCTATAAATTAATACTCTATAAATTAATAACCTCTCTAAATTAATAAATTCTTTCGGTCCCGAGTTGGGACCAACGTAAAATATGACATAAATCGATAAATTAATAAGATAATATTTTTTTTGAAAATCACATGTAAACATATATATGGTCTCATCTATATCATAAATTAATAATTGTATAAAATTATCAATATATATATATAGATATTTAACTTAATATATATATATATATGATATAAATTTATATATGTCATATATGAATTACTATGATATATATATATTTAAAATATTATATGTAAAATATTTAATGAAATATGATTCTATTATTCGAAAAAAGTTTGTGTTGTTTTTTAAACTTAATAATTGCTTCTCTACTTGTAATTGGTTTAAAAAAGATATTGCTTAATTGTTAAAAATGCCCCTTTTTCAATACCCCTTTTCAAAAATGCCCCCTTTGAGAGTCCATTTTTAAGTTTGCCCTCTTTTAATTTTTAATGACCATTTTACCCTTATTTGAAACAAAATTAGGTCCACAAAATACAAAATATTTTTTGGCAGGAAAAGTGATCCCGCAATTTTCCCGCCAAAACACTTGTAAAAAACCTTTAAAATACCTTGTAAAATTTTCCCGTAAAAAATTTTCCCGCCAAAAAATTTTTTTTGCGGGAAAAGTGAATCCGCAATTTTTATGGCGAAATTTTTTTGGCGGGAAAAATTTACAAGGTATTTTAAAGGTTATACGAAGTATTGACGAGTGTATTGTAAGGCCTTACAATGTATTTTAAAAGATTTTACAAGGTACTTATAAAGTTTTATAAGGAATTTATAACTTGTAAAAAACTTGTAAAACCTTATAAAAAACTTGTAAAATCTTATAACTTGTAAAACCTTATAAAATAGCTTGTAAAATCTTATAATATCTTATAAATACCTTATAAATACGTTGTAAAACCTTTTAAAATACATTGTAAAACCTTATAAATACCCTGTAAAAAACCTTTAAAATACCTTGTAAATTTTTCCCGCCAAAAATTTAACACCAAAAAAATTACCGAATCACTTTTCCCGCAAAAAAACTTTTTTGGCGGGAAAATTTTTTGCCGGGAAAAAATTTTACGGGAAAATTTTACAAGGTATTTTAAAGGTTTTACAAGTTTTTACAAGTGTTTTGGCGGGAAAAATTGAGGGATCACTTTTCCCGCCAAAAAATATTTTGTATTTTGTGGACCTAATTTTGTTATATTTCCTTATATATTTGTAATATCTTTTATTAAAAGAAGGGTAATTTAGTCATTTTGTACATAAAAAGGGGTATTTTTAAAAATGGACAACCAAATGGGGCATTTTTGAAAAGGGGTATTGAAAAAGGGGCATTTTTGTGAGTCTCCCAAAAAAAAATTAGATAGAAAGTTTTTAAGAAATTACAAAATTAGTAAAATCTCTCTATAAATTAATAATTATTAATTTTTCGATAACTTAATACTTCTCTAAATTAATAAAATTTTGATGGTCCCAACATTATTAATTTATAGAATTTTTACTGTATTACTTTTGTTAATGACTGATTAGTAATATTATAAAATTTTGAAGAATCGAATGGATATTATTCTATATACTAAGTAAAGAGAAGATGAGAAGTACTTGACGCAAATCTAGAGGATCCAATCTTTATGTATAAAAAGATCTAGAATCAAATCGATCATTACATACTTATTTGACTCTTCTACCTTATGGAGCGCAGACTTTGGACCATATTAATATACGTATAACAATTGTCTTTTCCTATTTAATTTTGCTCCATCAATATCACTCTCTACATTTTCTCCATCATTGCATGCATTAGATCTTCCAGAAAATAATATCACAAGAGACATATTCAGTGTATTTTCTTTATATTTATGATTATGGTTTCCTTTTAAGCGAAGTGGTACAAATAGAATTAGAAAAGATTCTTGACCAAAAAAAAAAAACCTACTAGGAACTGCGAAAGGCCACTAGAGAGTTCAAAGCGTGTAGAGATATTTGCCACTTCCACTTGCCACGTCGGTCTCTGAACGTAGTACAAATTTTTGTCCTACCTTATCCATTCGTCCATGAGGACTCGAAAGCGACGTCTCCATTTGACTATAAAAGAACCTATATAGATCCACTAAACCGGATTCCAAATCTCATAACCGACCCAAATTAATATGCAAAGAGCCGACCGATTGTGATTGGTTTGGTTAATTTTTTTTTTAAGTTCTTTTTCTTCTAATGGTCATGTTTTATGTCGGATTTGAATAATAATATCTCTGAATCACTTTAACAATGAGACAAAAAAAAAAAAAAAAATCTTTTGGCTTGATGCGTTCTTTGTTTTTTCCCCTAGATTATATATTCACTGTAGTATTTGTATGTTCTCCCATTAAATTGAACCAAATTCATGGTACTGTACATGGGACAGAATCCAATCCAATTATTGTACTTTCTATATGGTTTAAACTAAAACCATATATACAAATCAAATTTCACTTCCATCGTACTAATCTGGTGAGATTTTTCTTACACCAATGGAATCGTCATTTACGCCGCGACTTAAAAGGCTTCTATGGTTTTGAATCGTAGTATTTGTTGAGCAGTTTCTCTGTATATTCACCAAACGTCAAGACTTCATTAGAGAGAGATAACTCTTCATGTATTGTCACTTCTTTTGGGAATGTAAGCTTCTGATCCCTAAAACACCACATTCACATTAATAATTTTTGTACAATAACACAAAAATCGTCCAATGTTAAATCAGTCAAAAGTTATCTTAGTTCAGAATAATACCAGTCAGGTTGCATGAACAATGCGAATGTCGATCGCTCTAGACCACGAGCCTCTTCTCCTTGTGGTGCCTGAATACATAAACAAGAAATTATGGGTCGTTTTGTTGTCGAGATCTGAAATAATACCATCGAAAGTAACCATGACGAACAGATTTACTAGTTGAGGAGCCATATCCGCAAAGGCTTGAAGAATAATTACCCGAACACAATGAGGTGTAGCACGAAGATAACCACTTGACAGAATTGCTGTTGTCTCCCCTATTTGGTATGCTATTTCATCTTCCCCGTACACAACCTAGTCAAATGCAAAGGAAGGCATTCTTGAGAAAATTATTCATAACAAATAAATTTGGTTTCGCCGTGCTAAATCAAATAGGCTCTATTATACATACTATGCACAGTCATAAGGAAGGATAAGTACTGTACCTTAACGATCTGACCTGACCGTGTTTGTATGTATAAGCCAGAAGCAGGATCTGGGCAAGGTACTTCAACTGAATCTCTAGAAAATATTGCACGAGTAAGACCTGTGGATATTCATACAAAGATACACTTAACCAGCATATCACAAACGCTAAATTTATCTGCATACCATCTATACAGAGAGGAGATGCGTGTTTTATATCTAATAAACCGTTTTCAAAACAAAAAGGAGTCAACTAAACTTAAGTGAACATTAACAACTCAGGAAAGCAAGAGAGAAGAAAATCGGACACCTGTGAGTGAACCATGGTCCGTATGCCATCCACACCAAGATGAGATGGAATCGTTGTCCTGCGTAGAGCTGAATGGAAGACAACATGTCAATATATCAAACAATGAAGTATCTTTATCGCCCAAATGAAAGTTCTACTTTTAAGAGGCATATATAAGAGCTTGTGAACATACCTATCCTGAGCAGGAAAATAATAAAGCAGACGTCCTTTGTGACACCGAGAGTCACGTAGTATCTTTTCAAGATTTTGCTTTTCATGTTGTTTTATACCCTTTGACACTGCAAATCATGGATTGTAAAGGGCTTTAGAAAATAGACAATGACGTAACCATGAAAATGTCTAGCACCATGACATTTTGTGTCCGATCGAAGAGAATAAGAAGTGAGAAACAGTAAACGCCAAATTCATGTTGATACACTTCATCGGTGATGCAAATTCCACAGACCATGCCAGCATCGAACAAAGAGACTGGTTTCAGAGAGTAAGAAAACTAAACTATTCATCATTTTAAGAGTAAGAAGTGAATTAGGCTACTCTACAGATACAGCCACATAGTATCCCTGCAAATATCTTTGCAAGCATCTTAAGGACATCTATTCAAGGATGTTCCAAGATAAATTCACTAACACCGACGAAATTACTTACCATATTGATCACAGTGGTAAGCAACCATCAGTCCAACTTCGAACATCAGTTTACCAAGAGCTTTGAAACCTGTAATGTATAAAAGTAATAATCAGTTATGAGGAGGAAAATAATAAACGAGAGTAAAAAATGTAAATTAGAGAGCATCACTAGAAACAAGCTAAGGTTGCAAACGCAAGCAGATACCAGAAATTGTCAAATTCTATGGCACTTCTAAGTACAAAGTCATGCGATCATTGTATTCATTCTCAAAGGTGAGACACCAACAAATTATATCCAACTAAAAAAACTAATGACATCAAAAAGTAAAGCAAGAATCACCTAGTTACCTCCTTCAAGTTCCGGTAAAGAATTCCTTGGCCATATGTTTGATCCACAATACGATGGATACCTACATCATGAAAACATATGAAGATAAATTAACAAATTTATAGAACAGAAGCAGTCTATTGCACTTAATGAAGACCAAAACACATTTAAACATAACACTGAATACGAAGTAACCTACACTAGAGTATCTGGTAAAGACAGGAGTTCATTCGGGCAGTCATATTTCAACACATTTCCCAGATTGCTACATAAGCCAAAGACTTTACAAACATAAAACTATGGTATTGGTGTTACTTACCGCTGTATTTCATATGAATTACTCGTCGGTACATCTTGTAGAGGATTAGCATAGTAAGAACCCTTCAACATATCTGCACAAACAATACCCAAACTTTCAATATAGTAGTTTCATCAGAGCAGGCCAGAGATATGATACTGTCACAGAAAAAAATACATTTAAACTTCTTGTTGTATTCAAGGACCGAATCAATCATGTAGTTCAATAAGTTCTTGTAGTTATCTACTAATAAATAACCGAGCCAAACAAGATGTTAAATGGAAATCTTTATTTAGCCAAACATTTGAAATTCTTATCCAGGATCAACTATGAAATCTCGTTTAAATTCTGAAGCAACACTACAGCAATAAAAGAAAGTCTATATGCTCACCAAGCTTCCCAGATTCAAGTTTCTCCTTGCCATGACTCCAACCAAAATTATACCTAAGAAAGAAACAAAATAAAAGAGTAAGAATTTAAAAATATAAAAGAAGATCATTAAGCAACTAAGTAGACCAAAAGAATTCGTATTTTCACCTACTATGAGCATCTTCAAGCTCTCTCTTCACCTCTTCAGGAAGGCCAGCTAACCTTTACATAAGAATCAAACAATCCTTGAGAGCTATATTGAAAAAAAATCTAATCTTTCAATTGAATCAATCAAAATCATTTACCTAGGTGCAAGCCGAAGTAGATTCTGTCGTAAAGTAGAATATCCAGGAACCTAAAAACACACAAAGTTGAAATCTTTATTCCTAATCAACACATAAAGGTGACAAATTTCATAATCTTGAAGAGAAAAGAACTATATAATATAAAATTACATGCACAAATTCAATAAAGTTGAGAACTTTTAACACATATTTAACTGATTAAGAACAAAGCAAACAACTTTGGTTATAAGAAGTGATGATTCATACATCTTTAACAGAGAGAATTCCAAGTCCATTAGGTCCAAATCCTTCTTCAATCCTCGCAGACAAATCTATGTTGCTCTCCTGTAATTGAAAGAGAGAGAAGAGTTTAGAAGACGAAATAGAACACAGAGAAGATAAATAAGAAGAGTTTGGCTTAAGTTTGCCTTGAGCTCCGAGTAGGATATGGTGACAGTGGAAACCGTAGGAACGGTGGATTCCCACGAGAGAGACATGTGGCGGAACGTAATCAGGCGAGGGAAAGAGCGGAAGGACGACGTTGGAGAGCGAGAAACGAAATCGGCGGCACACCGGAGATGAAGCAATTGACTAAGTTGGTTATTTGCCGTGTTGGGCTTTGGCTTTGTCACTTTTCAGGTAGGTTTTATTTTGGACCAACAAAAAAAAAACATTTTGATCAAAATTTGAAGAAATGTAAATTTATGGAATTAAATAATACTAATATTTAATACCATTTTGATGTGTACAGAATTAAAATTGGAAAAATGTCATTAAAATCTCCGACTTATTCAAAACGTTGATTTAAATTTTCAATTCACGACGAAACGAAATAAAAATCAAACTAATATTGACTTTCCAAATAAATATTAAACTTATGTTGACTTTCAAAATAAACACCAAACTTTCATTGACTTGGTCATATTAGGCTTAAGTGAGTTAACAGACCATGTTAACGGGATTAATTTTCTGTTAACAGACCCGCTAATTAAAAATGACAGTATTCCTTCTAAACATAGAACGACGTTGTTTTGTCGTAACTGCTCAATAAAATCCCGAGTTTTTAATCATATGAAGATTTAGGGTTAGGGATTTTGCTCGATATGGGGATCTAAGATTGACTTTAGGGATTTAATTCAATCGTTACGACAAAACGACGTCGTTTTGTTGTTATATGAAACGATGTTGTTATCAATTAACATGTATGTTAACAGAAAATTAACTCCGTTAACGAGATCTATTAACCCACTTAACGTCATACCTAATATGGCCAGGTCAACGGAAGTTTGATATTTATTTGGAAAGTCAACATAAGTTTGATATTTATTTCGTTTCGTCATGAGTTGAGGATTTAAATCAACGTTTTGAATAAGGTGGAGATTTTAACGACATTTTTCCCGAATTAAAATACTAAAATAGAATTTTTTTTGATATTCCTTCTTGAAAAATAAAAATATATTTATATTAGGTGTTATCTATTTATTACGACTTAAATTTTATCTAAGTTTAATTAGAGAGCCAATTAAATAGCAAAAAATATGTTGTATTAATGTAATTTAACAGTAATTATTATTAGTATTAATTGTATACAAATATCTCCTTAATATTACTTGAGAAATACAATTAGTGGTTTTGCTTACTTGTCCGTTCGACATTCAATTTCAACTTGAAAATGGCTAACAATTTTGACAT